ACGGATACCGTGATATTCAAGTCTTTCTCAACTGCAACCTTCCGCAAGACAGACACTGCACTGGCCCATTGAAGCGCAATCCCGTCGAAGCTATCGTGGAGTCAGCCGCCAAGTGTGCGATCCAATAAAATAACATCTATCTTTTAATTGAATAACGACTTTTTTGCGCGAAGCGCGGCACGAGCGTAGCGGGCCCGTGCGATAGCACGGTTGGGCAAAATGAAGTCTCAACATTGTGTTCCGGCGTGCGTAGCGCGTCGGGAAGGGTCGAATTCGGTTAAGTACGAGTGGCAGGTCAATGTCGTGATTGTTGACTTGGTGTTTGTAACAATGTTACAAAGTGCGGAAGCGTACGTAACCGAACCGCGCGCAGCGCGCCACGAGCGAAGCGAGTCGACCTGGCGCAGCCGGATCCTGCGCGATAGCGCAAACCACGAGCGTGCACTCGGCGATAGCCGGGGTCTGCGCGGTAGCGCGGTAGGGATACATGCCATGCGCGAGCGTAGCGAGTGCATGTGCCATCGATGCGCGCAGCGCTAATCCTGAGTTTAGCGTGGACACTTGCGATAGTGCACGGCAGTGTGGTAGGATACTGTGCGCGATAGCGCAATGTACGAGCGTAGCGAGTGCATTTGGTATCGTTGGGGCCTGCGCGATAGCGCGGGACCTCAATGTCACGCATGGTGTTAGATCAATGAGTTTGATCGCGATGTTAGAATCGTATCTGGATGTTACGTTTGCTTTGCACGTTGCTATTGCAATCCGCACGTCAAGCACAGAGCAGAAGATCCGATCATGGTGTGGACGCCAGGCTCTGTGGCGGAGCGCAAGTGCGAGCAGCGGAATCGCCAAGCTGCATGCGCCCTGGCGACATCTACTCTGATCGAGGAGGCCAAGGAGCTCAAGCGGAATATCGCCGCGAGGCAGAGGCGACGGCAGCAAACCAAGGCGGCGACCGCGCCCGCCACTGCATCTCCAGGCGAGGCGCGCGTGCAGCAGCCGCGCCTGTCACAGTAGAATTGCTGGGCCTGCAAATTTGAGTAGCGATTCTTTAAACCACCTCATGAACGTTATACATCCTACAATGTTGATTATTCCACACTGTCCAAGCTACGACACAGACACACCGCTAGGTTGCACGCGGCCCCGATACCGAACTGAAATAAAAAAGCGCGCCAGAACCTGCGCAAACCTTCTCCACGAATCAAACCACTACGCATGCTACGCATAAAGACCGCTAGATGGCCCACCGGCCCTATGCCCCGCCTCAACCACAAAGACCAACCACACCCAGCCCCAAGAAAACGCGAGGTTTGGGGCAGGGTACGTTGAGCTTCAATGCACATGATCCCGTCTACCGACGAGTCCAAACTACGTCACACGTAGTACGCGATCCCACCGCTAGATTGCACGCTACCCCAATGCAAAACCTCAACCAAAGAGCTCGACCAAAACCTGCCCCAAGAAAACACGAGGTTAACCCTAGTTAGCACATAATTGAGTATACAAATATGCGATTGTTGAGTTGAGATGAAACATCAATGTTGCTGGAGCGCGTTTACACTGATGGCCAAATGCGAGTCGAAAGCGGGT